GAGCGAAAACCTAAACCTGGACAGTAAATTCCTGCGCGCGTTTATCGTTTAACCCAGGCATCTCTGACCAGACCTTCGTGAAATAGTACCCTAGGCAGCTGGAACGATCCCTATGGCAATAGAATAGTTCATATGAATACCTCGGCATGCACATCCAGCTTGGGAGTGCGCAAGAAGCATTTTCATAAACCACCGTTTGATGCATCTACATGCAGTGAGCAGTTGGGGAAAGAAATCTGGAATTTTTCCGGAATAAAATTTTCTTTAAACTGAAAGACTCTGCCGGTTGCAGGGTAAAAAAAGATCCACCCAGACAAGCAATAGGTGGAGGCCTTCAGGGGAGTGCGGCTAGAAGTAGTGTTTGAAACTGTATAGAAGCAAGGCCTACCTATCCAAGGTCGGCGGTGCTCTGGATGCGATTCGCCTTTTGCGGCCAGCTGCGTAGTAATCCCAGGCGTCCATAAATGCACGGCAATTATAGGAGGCTTGTACATGAAGTGGCAGCAAAAAGGCGTCCTTAGCACCTTCAAATTTGCCCCGAAATGCCGTCCAAATAAGTCTAAAAAGTCGCAAAAATATTTTAACCAAAACCAAAACGTTCTCGACAAGCTCTCAACACTCCATAAACTAGGGATGAATACCGGATGCGTTTTGTTAGCCGGGCAGAGGTCGTTTACCAGTCGTCTTTTTGATATCAAGTAAAAGAACATCGTAATGAGCATCAAAGCTGAGGTCAAACGGAATCTTAGCTTTTCAGTATTCCGTTGTGGACTATATTAAATTGTCTGCTACGAGAGATAGTCCTCTTAGTGAATGCTTGTAAAAGTACAAACATACTGACGAAAGGAATTTCTGGATTCAATTTCATCAAACGACTCACGTGAGTATGCCCTTATGTGTTTTTGCACGATCCATAGTCGGCCTAGATACCCGAGAGCTCATTTCTTATGCAAGTATGGATTTGCTTCTTACTTATTTTACTTGAGAAATATGGGGAGTGCAAGCAACTGGGGACTGTACAGGAAACTGGGCTGGGCAAGTCCGACTATTGGCCCGCACTAAAACTGGGTTGACCGACTTCAGATGCAGTAGAAGCCCTGTCGCAATCTCGGAGAATATAATAAATCAGAAGTAAATAAATTTCGTGGTCTATCACTTAGTCTTCGGATACAGGATGCGCACAGTGCTCGAGTAAACTCAAAGGCACAAAGAGTGTCTCATAACACGATCAGTAAGTATCCCTCTACTATTAAAACTGTATATGGGATCTGTTCTAATAGCATCGTTTAAAAACGACAGGAAATCAAGGCAGATTGCCAAAACCCCTTAATGAGACCTCGGGTGCTGCTTAATTTTGGATTGGGCATGGCTGGCTGATGTTGATGAATAATAAGTTCGAAGTAGTCATTCCAGTCTCCCTTATCTTTGTCAGTTTGTCATTTTGCATATCAATATATATATATAAGAGATATTGTTTGAATGGTGGAGAATATGCGAGGCCCAGGTAACTGAATAGAAGACGGTAAAACGTTCTCTGGGACCATTGGTTTATTTGTCCGACGTTTCGAACCCTCCACCGAGTTCATTTTCAATGACTGAAAAAATGTACTGCTCATTGCGTATTTAACTCGGTTCTGCTGGGAGTGGCCTCTGCCCCCGATTTTCGAATTATAGTTCTTGGGATGCACTTTTTCCAATTCATATATGCGCATATGTGTAAAAGTACCCGGACCCAGACTGTTTAATCACTGAGCGTTTTATGTTCAAAACTCTACTATTGATTCCCGGACCCTTTATCCTGTTGGCTATCATTAGGGCTAAAAATGAGACTGAAGGGCGTTCATTGGACAGGCTGCAGGAGAGTTTTTATCAGTATGTCTTTCTACAACGAAATTTGTTCACTATACGACTAGACCTAATCAGTGAAATCTTATACCCCAACTTTCTGCAAAGACGGTCTCGGGAAATCAATCAAAAATTGATCAAAAAGCCTCATGAGGTAGTTTTTTCTTAACACGAAGGAGCAAACTGGCTGGACTCATTTCTGAAAGAGCATTGTTTATCAGTTGACAAAGATGGCCTGACTTTGAGCCCTTTCCTATGCCTCTTTTCGATGGTGCGCTTAAAAAAGAATCTGAAATGTCAGACTTACTGCAAAAATCACCCGAAATTAATAAAAATACAAAGGTTTAAGGTATTGCTTTGCAAATTGCGCCGTCAGTATTAAATCAAAATACAAAAATTTAGAAAGTCTCACGGTGTTAGCCATCCAAAAGTCAATCGCGATGGCACAGACGCCCAGTATTCCGGGAACGGAGTCTGAAAAAAGTCTGGAATATATGACTATTCCTGCGAAAATTTTAAGCCCAATGCGGACTAAGGAGGACGGGCAAATACAGGAGAAGGTTTCAAAGAAACGACGAAAAATAAATTAGATATGCAAACGCTCGGTAACAGTCTCTGTGCAAAGAGGCTGACCGAAGTAAACGCATATTCGTCCACATAGGTGGACACAGATGATATCGTACTCATGTCACGTTAAGATGAGAGGTTAAAGCAAATTTCTGAGGTTCTGAGTGATAAAGCTACATGCTTACCATCGTTGTCAG